CTGTTGCCTTCGTTGGGGTGGTGGGTGGAAGGGGTTATACTTGAGCTCTGGTCTGAAACTGTATTGAACAAAATAAGATACTCCTATTTAGAATAAAATGCACCTGTGATAAACTTGTCTGGAATTCAGAACCATTCTTACTGCTCTGTTTGAGGCAGGATACTTGGGTTGCAAGCACTGCCTTTAGGTGACTAAATTAGTTTGCTGAAGCTGTCATAGCAAAGAATTATGAATTGGATGGTTTTGAATGGCTCACAGTACTAGAGTATAGAAGTCTTAAATGAAGGTGTCTCTAAGGCCATGCTTCCTCTGAAAACCACAGGGGCAGGATTCTTTCTTATCTCTTCCTAGCTTTTGGTGGCAGTCTTTGGTGTTCCTTAGGTTGTTGCTCCATCATTCCAATCCTCTATTTTCACATGGTCTCTGCACCTAAATTTTTCTTGTTTTGTTAGTACATGTTTGCAGTACATAGTGTTTACATTCCTTGTGTGGAGTTCATAAATGTACATAATACATCTTATTTTTCACTCCCTTTCCCTCCCTCCCCTCCCTCTATCTCTTGATCCCATTCCCTTTGAGAAAGATCTATCTCCCTACTTCCTATTAGCTATATTTTATTTTGCTCTTTATAACTTGGGTTTCTCATATAGAAGAAACCATGCTATATTTAAACTTGTGTGCCTGATTTATTTCACTTATGTTGAAACATCTTATTACCTGAGATGAAGCCTACTTGGTCATGTGTGATCTTTGCAGTGATTTGTTGCATTCTGTTTGCTAGTGTCTTGTTGGGGATCTATATTCATTCTTTAAAGAAGTTGAGCTATAGTTCTCTTTTTCAGTCAGATATTTGCTTGGTTTGGATACAAGGTAATAGTAGCTTCTAGGAATTACTTTGAGAGTACTCTTTCTCTTTCAGTTTCATTACAGTTTGAGGAGTATTGGTGCTAGATCTTCCCTGAAAGTTTTGTAGAGCTTAGTAGTGAATCCATCTGGGCTTTTCTTAGCTGGTAGGTTTTTATTGCTGCTTCAATTTAATTGCCTGTTATTGGATTATTCAGGATTTTAAACCTTCTTGGTTCCAGTTTTGTAATTCATATGTATCTAGGAACCTGTCCATTTCTTCTAAAATCTCCAATTCATTGGTATACAAGTTTGTTAAGTAGTTGTTAATAATCTTCAATTGTGAATTCACCTTTTAAATTTCTAATTGCATTGATTTGGATTTTTTTCTGCTATTTTTTTTTGGTTAGATTGGCTAAAGGATTGTTTATTATGATTATTCCTTTGAAGAACCAAGGCACCAAGTCTTCAATTCATTGATTCTTTATATTTTTTGTCTCAATTTCATTGATTTCTGTTCTCATCCTTGTAATGTCCTTCTTTGTTTGAGCTTTGGGGGTTTTTTCTTATTAATTTTATTGATACATTTTAGGTATACAATATAATGACATTTGTCATTGGAAATTTGCACCTTTACATATTCTATCTTGGTTCTTATTTTTCCCCATTCCCCTGCCTTCCCTTCAACCCTTCCAACCCTCCTCTTCTTTATATAGTCTAGATAGTAGACTTTTGTCTGAGGGACAGCTGGTAAAAATTTTTTCCCACATTATGGGTTGTCTCTTCACACTGTTGGTTGTTTCTCTTGCTGTGCAGAAGCTTTTTAATAAAAAGAGATCCCACTTGTTGATTGTTTGTGCTAGTTCACGGGCAACTGAGGTTTTGTTCATGAAATCTTTTCCTACGTCAGTGTCCTCAAGAGTTCTACCTAACCTCTCTTCCAGAAGATTTAGTGTTTCTGTTTTCATATTTAGATCTTTAGTCCATTTCAATTTTAGTTTAGTGCATGATGAGAAATATAGGTCTAGTTTTAATCTTTGGGCAAATTTATTAAAGAAGCTATTTTTCCTCCAGTGAGGGTGTTTGGCTCCTTTGTTGAAGATGAGGTGGCTTAGTGTGTCTGGAGTTGTTTCTGCATCTTCTAATCTGTTCCACTGGGCCTCAGGTCTGTTTCTTTGCCAGTACCATGCTGTTTTTATCAGAGTAGCTTTGTAGTATAGTTTCAAGTTGGAGATTGTAATACCCCCTACCTTGTCTTTGTTGCCTAGAATTGCTTTTGCTATTCTAGGTCTCTTCTTGTTCCAAAGGAATTTTTGGATTGTTTTCTCAAGGTCTGTGAAGTATGCTGTTGGAATTTCAGTTGGCATTGCATTGAATCTATATAGCAGTTTTGGAAGTATGGCCATTTTCACTATATTGGTTCTTCCTACCCAAGAGCAGGGAACGTCTTTCCATTTTCTGATATCATCTTCAATCTCTTTGTTTTTAGAGTGCTATAGTTTTCAGAGAAGAGGTCTTTGATTTCTTTTGTTAGGTTGATTCCTGGGTATATCATTTTTTTAGATGCTATTGTGAAGGGTGTTGTTTTCTCAGTTTCTTTTTCAGTGAGTCTGTTGTTAGTGCACAGGAAGGCTATTGATTTTTGTGTGTTGACCTTGTATCCAGCTACACTACTTAATTTGGTTATTAAGTCTAGAAGACTTTTGGTGGAATTCTTGAGCTTTGGGTTTCTTTTTATGAAGATGTCAAGCATATTGGACTAGGGCTTGCCCTAATGACTTTTTTAAAAAAATTTGATTGCCTTTGTAAAGATTCTACTTCCTGATAAACTCACATTCCAAGGTAGTGAGGGGTAAGATTTCAATATACTTTTAGGTGCAGGGAAAACATAACTAAACCTATAACACCAATTTAAACAAAATGGAATTTATTGTAAAGACATGAGGTGATTTATTTAACTGAAAGAAGAAGAACCCAGGTAACTCAAGGTTCAGGGAACAGGACCAAGTCCCCAGCCTTATAAGAAGGCTGCTGCTAGAATTAAGGAGCCTCCATTGGCTTTCTAGTCTTTGCATCACTATCCAGATATCAAGCCCAGAAGATAGTCTGGCTGGGTCACACATTGGATTGAAAAGTCAGAGTGCCATTGTTTTCTTTCCCAGAAATTATATAAGAGCAGAAAAGATAAAATTCCCAATGAATTTGGGGTGCTATTACCAAGAGAAAGGAGGGGGATGTTAAATGGCAGGAAAGGAGCAAAATTAAACTGAGAGAGATATCTTTTTGTCCACATTAAATTTGTTATTAGCTCTATGTTAAAATAATTTTGTGGTGATTATTCATGTAACTAATTCGAAAAATTAATAATAATAATTTGCCCGTCTTATACATCAAGAGTATGAAGGGAATTCCAGCTAATCATAATTCTTTCCATTACTGAGTTCTCTTTAGTTAGATTTTGTGACCATGTCAGTTTTATAATGGAGAAAAATGATCTCCCAAGCAAACTCCTCTCTCATTGTCTGATCTTTGGTTCTTGTGCTCTGGTCCAGAGCAGGACACCCCTGCCCCGAGATTTGCCAGCCAATGGAGGCTTCTTGGTACCATGTGCTCAGCTGCTCCTCTGAGCCTGGGAGGGAAGAGTATACTTCTGCCCTCCCACTCCCAAGGCACTCAATTCTCATGCTCCAACTTGGACCTCCCCTTCTCATTCCACCCTCTCTCTTCACCTTTCCTACCACCACCTCTTCAGAGAATATAACCATTGTTATATTACTTATGCTTGAATTAAGATGAGAAAAGAAGAGGTGGGGAAAATTAACAAAGTGAACTGCATAAAATTAGGGGTGTAAGGGGGTGGCTTATTTTTAAATAGTATAACAATCTTAAAGAAGAGACTTAGCCTCTAGCTTGTCTTTTTGTACTTAGTTTTTAACTGTTTTGAAAAGAAGCAGCTGATAGACCTGCTGTAGCATTTTGTCTTTTGTCATATCCCATGCCATGCTGGGGCATAGAAAGGGTAATCTCCAAGGCTGGAATAACAGACAGGAGCAGTCTGGGAGTTAGAAACTCAGCTACTTGTGGGGCAAGTTGTAGCTCTTCCTGGAGGAGGAAAGAACTAGTACCATAGGCAGAACATTGACTCACAAAGGGTGAGAAGTTAGTTCTATGAGGGAGATCAGGCCCCATAAATAAGATAGGGTGCTCTCAAACAATAGGTAGAAAATGATGGAGGAGGGAATATTTGAATTTTACATTCTCAGCATTAGAGAAACAACTAAATAGTCTGTTCCAGAAGTAATGCATATGAATTCTGTTCATGAGTCATTGGTCCAAACCAGTCCCTTGTCCCCAACCAATTTAAGGAGGCTAGGAAGTACAGGTACTCTTACCTTTGGAAACTGGATATACTTACCAAGCAATAGCAGTGACTTCCATAGCTCAAGATGCAGACACCAGATCACTCTAAAGGGATCTGATTCAGGAGGTCTGCATTTTAAAGAGGCCTCCTCAGGTTCATCTGTGCATCGGATGCAGGGTGGGAAAGGGAGGGTGAAGGTAAATCCTGGACCATAATTCAAGGAGCACAACTATAGAGTGCCACCTCAGTACAGCAAGGTGATCAAGAGAAAGGGAACAAATCTGAGACAAGAAAAAGTGTGGGTCACCTCAAATTATAATCAAATGGGCTGCAAATGCCCTAACACTGCAGCCCAGAGCCCTGAACAGAAGCTCCCCAATGCCCAGCCTTGAAGGGGGCATTGGAACTGTGACTGAGAAAGACAAAACCCTCGTGTGTCAAGCTCCTCCAGGAGTTGAAGAGGAATGGGAAGCCAACTCCAGGAAGTAATTTTTAGATGTTACCTAAAGAATATTTTTATATTAATTGAAGTATAATCACTTTTTCTTTCTTCTGTTCTTCTCTCTTCCTTTTCTTTCCCTCCCTCTACTGCTTGTTTCCCTTTTTATTCCCTATTATTCTCTCTTTTCTTATTATTTTTATTCTCTGCTTCCTCCTCTGGAATCTTCTCCTCTTTTTCAATATTTCCAATTCTCTGATTCCCTCTCCCTCCTCTCTTTCATGCCTACTATTCTCCCTTTCCTCTCCCTCCCACTTCTCCTTGCCCATGGCCACACCCACTCTATTGCCTCTCCAGGTATTATGCCATCTGCTGCCAGCCTTTGGTTTACAGGAATAAGATGACCCCTCTGCGTATTGCATTAATGCTGGGAGGCTGCTGGGTCATTCCCATGTTCATCTCTTTTCTCCCTATAATGCAAGGCTGGAATAACATTGGAATAGTTGATTTGGTGAGTATCTACACAAACCTTCTGCTTTGCTGTCTAATCAACCTTGCTTGAGATTTTAAATAAACACATAATATAAAGCTGGGCAAATATTCTAAGAAAGATTCTGACAGTGGTCTGAGCAATAGTTTTTTATGAAGCTAACATTTCTGAATGTCTACTAATAGAGTCTCTCCTTGACCAAACTTAGGGTCCTCTGAATTATCTTCCCAACTAGGCCTCAAATTTGGGACTTTCCTGTCCATATTCACATGAGTTTATTTTAGCAAGAGTCCCAGTAGTTTAGCCATAATCCCCTACCCTCAATATCTGGTCAGGTTCTCATCTCTACCATGCCACAAGTGGTGTCTGATCACTCTGACCTATCTTCAGGCAGAATCCTGCCTGGATAGTTTAGCCAGGATCTCTCTTACCCCTGATTTTTCCTCTTTTTTTTTTTTTATTGTATAGAAACATCTTTTATTCGGCTAATATGTCCCAAAACAGGTCAGTTGGTAAAATAGATTCTAGAGAATATGGCCTATACACAGCCCTACCTCCCCAAAAATAACCCTGGGGGTGAACATTTCGCTCCCCCTGGGCTCATTGGGCATAAAAATGCTTGGCAGCTCTATTTATTATCTAGGCATGGGGCACCATGTCCATGTCCCTCCCCTATTCCTAGAGTGCAGCAGCAGTAGGTGGTCACAGGTCTCCCCTCAAACCAGCCTAGTCAAAATTTTTGCCCCACCGCAAATATGAAACCAAAATAAAGAGCAAGCAGGTCCCCTGCACTGAGGTGCTGGGCAGGGCCCACTGCCACATCTCTGTGCTTTGAGAAAAAGATTTGTTTGGCACTTTAAAAATAGAGGAGTGACCAGGGCTAGAGGCCAGAAAAGGTATCATAATTGGCAGGGAGAGACCATTTGGCATTAGTGCCCCTGGGAGAAGAGAAGGGAGATGCGCAGGATGTAAGAAAAGTAGGAAGGGGCCAGGGATTTTTCCTCTTAATAATTTTCTATCTACTGACCGTCACCCACTATGCTTCTTGATTATAGATTTTCACATTCCTTTAACGTGTTTAGAGTTAAGCTCAACTGTTCTCCCCTCCTGCAAACTCCATCATAGTAGTTCCTATAATGTATTACAATAGTAGTGAATAAAGTCGGCCTTATTGCTTTAACAAGTGTCATGAATAATTTTAAACATTATTTTATGCCAGAAGGCACACTAAATACTTTACAAATAAGTCTAACAATATCCTATAGGGAACAGAATAATTATATCCCCATTTTACAGAGTAGAAAAATCTAGTCTCTCATGGTTAAGTAACGTACCTAATACCACACAGCTTGCAAATAGCAGAACATGCATTCAAGGCTTAGCAGTCAGATTCCAGAGTGGAAGGTAGTTGTCCCAAGACCCCATCATCCCATTTCACATTGAGAATCTATAAAGTCTACATTGACCCAGAAAAATTATGTCATCTGGGTAGAGGCTTCCAGGGAATGAAGGGAGCACTGGGCACAAGTACAGAGGACTAAGCCCTGAGCCCAGCTCTGTTACTGTCCCACTTCCTGAAGAGCTGTGATGAGAAGGGCATTTGTCCCTAGAAGAAAACAGTTTCTGTCAAGGGTACATGAGACATGTGTGCCTAGCATTTTCCAACCCCTGAGTATTGGTTTTCCAGAGAATCAGAACCAATAGGGTAAGTTGTGTGTGTGGGGGGGGGAGACTTATTATGAGGAAGAAGTTTGTGTGGTTACAGAGGTTGACAGGTCTCAATATCTACTCTCCGCAAGCTGGAGATCCAGGAGAACCAATATTTCAGTTTAGGTCCAAATCAGTGTCCTGACACTCAAGCAACAAGGCAGCAGGAGTTTCCTCTTTGTGTTACTGTTTTTTTCAGACAGAGTCAGCCTATGTAGTTCAGGCTGGCCTCGAACTCACTGCTATATGGATAAGACCTTGCACTGGGGAGGAAAATCTGCTTTACTGAGTCTGCTGATTCAAATATTAATCTCATTCAAAACTGTTCTCACAGACAGAATAATGTTTTACCAAATGACTGTGTACTCCACAGCCCAGTCAAGTTGACATACAGTTAACCATCTTGTCCTGTCTAGATAATATTTAAGAGCCCTCCAGTTCTGATGTACCAAAATTATAAGGAAGATCAAAATCTATGGTCTGGATTCATTAGCAAAGATATGTATTTTCTAAGGAAGTTTCAGGCACTCACTTAAAAAACAGTCCCAGGATCCCTATAGTCCAGGAAGGGGAATAGAGAGGAGATCCTGGGAGCACACACCACCCTAACAGGTCCCAGGGAGAGGGAGCTGTCCCTTCCCCTCTGCACTCCCTTCTTAGCCCCCAATCCTACCTTTTCCTTTGTCTGGGGAAGTCCTCTAAACCAAGGCCTGGGCCGGGGTTTGCACGTGGCATGTCCACATGGGAATTCTTCTCCCAGAGGCTGAAGAGTAAAGTACAAAGAGGAGCATGCAGGGAAATTGTGGATATTTTCTCAAATCTCATTTCATTTATTTTAGGCTGTCAGTTTTACTTTTCTTGGGACAAATGAAATCCAAACTTTCAACTAAGATTGTTTTCAATACTACTGCTATTACTATTAATAATAATAGTAGTAATAATAATAATAATAATAGCCAAGAGATGTTAAACACTTACTGTGCATCAAGCTCCAAGTTAATCAATAGTCCTGGAAACCTCTTTTGGGCCTCCGACAACTCTATAAAGTAGACCCTATTACTGTCTTCATTTTATAAATCAGGAAATTGAGGGTGAGAGAGGTTAAGTTACTAGCCAAATTCATTGGTAAAAAGTAGTTAAAGTCCAGATTTACTGTACCCCAGAGTCTATGTTCTTAATTTTTCTGCAAATCTTACTCCCCAGTGGATGAGATCTTTGGAAGCATATGCTTTTGTAGGTGGGTAATTTTTAGTGATGCTCAGCATTGTTACCTTCTGATGTGGAGCCTCCAAGGGATATAAAAAGTTTTTGTTTACTCATAAGAGTGAGATAAAAACACCTCCATTTACTTCCCTTAACTAGGGAAGGGACCATCTGCTTATTATTAACTTGCCTTACCTTCATCTCACGCACAGTGCATCTTCTAGAGAGAAGCTAGTGGAGCCCATATGATCACATATGTACAACTGATTTTTTTTATTTGTAGCAGTTACATTTTATAAAGCCTCCACAAACACTTAATTAGCAAATACTGCATATTTGCTCCCAGGGAAAATACAGGCTATGTTCTTGCAAGTTTCTGGTCGTATTTTCATCTACCAATCAATATATAACCATATTTTATGTGTGCTTCTGTTTAAAGACACTGATTTAATTTGTATTGTTAATTCATTAACAATGAACTGATGGCTAAGGCAATATAATCCATGCTTGAATCAAGCTTATGTAATACATGCATACTTGGTTAAGGTACTTCACAGCTTTCTTGCATGTGGGGAACACAAGACAACACTTTAGCACTATGTTTGGGCCACTTTAAACAGGGAAATCACTATCCAAAATCACAAAAAGTGTAAATTATGTGGCAAAAATAGCAAAGAGAACACTCATTGAAGTGAAACAAGAAGGTAGTGTATGGCTTTGTTTGACTTTAGCTGAGAAACTATTAGACAACTCGAATTTTTCACTGCTCTATGCACATGTGTGTCTGTAAATGACTGTGGAATCTGTTGCAAGTATTGCTTTTTGAGGTTTCAAATAAAGTTTAGTGAGCAGGTAAATTTGTGGAATTTGGTTTGCACATAGTATGTCCAAATGGAATTCATGAATAATGATAAGTTGCATACCCATTTGCATAGATCTGAACATACATACAAATATGAATAAGACTCAGGGTAAGGACCTACTCCAGGGATTTCATTTGCTCAGTCAAATCACCTGTGCTTTTAAAGCTAAGCCTGCCAGAAATGCTCTACTTTATCTTCAAATTTTACAAGTAAGAAACCACACCAACTCACTAAAGGATTATGAACTTAATATGAATTAAAATCACTAAAAATTGAACTACATGTTCACATGATAACTTTCAGACTATTTCCCAAACATGCTCCAAACCTAAATGCAAAGACCATCAGATAGGCATATGCCTATCAGGGAAATGGCCCAAAAGCTTCAGAAGGCAGTGACCAAGGAGAAAATGAGCAGTGATCAGACAGATAGCTGAGGCTGAATTATGGCATTTACCCTGAGTGATGGAGGGTGCTTTGCAGGATTTGGGACAGAGGAGTGACATCGTCTGACTTGTGTTGTAAGAGTCATTCTGACTGCTTTGTAGAGAATGGCTATGGAGTGACAGAAAATAGGGAAAACATTTGGGAAGGAATTACAATAATCCTGGCAAGTCATGATGGTAACTTGGACCAAGAGGATAGTAATTAAAGGTGATGCGAAGTTTTTAGATTTCAAAACTTTTACTCCATAATTATTTATTGATCACCCCCTGTTTGTCAGAAGCCACTCCTGTGTCTGAGATATGTTACTGAGAAGAATAGATAATGATCCATCTTCTTGTAAAGTTTATAGTCTATCAGGAGTATACAAATAATAAATGATGATATAAAAATAAGTAGGTATCTGGAATCCTAGGAGATAATTACTATGAAAAACAGTGGATGGAATGGCAGATTACAATATTACATACCGTGTTAGAGTAGGCTTTATTGAGGTGACATTTTAGTAAAAGCTTTAAGGAGGTGAGGTAATTGGATTGTGTATCTTGGAGAATATGCTGAGTCAAAGGAAAAGCTAGTGCAAATGTCCTAAGGCAGTATGTATCTGATATGTCAAGGTGTGGCTGATACAGAATGAGGAGAAAAAGCAAACTAGGAGGTTAAAATAACTGAAAAGGAAAGATAATGTATGACTTCGTATATTTTTATAAGGACATTGGCATTTACTCTGAATGATATGGGGCATGTCTTAGTCTCTTTTCTGTCACAGGGACAAAATACCTGATGACCTAAAACTTCAAGGAA